ATATTTTACAATCAGAATTTCTGCTTGCAGACTCTTTAGTTTCTGTAAATGATTTTTTTATTGACCTTATGCTCCAGCAGTGATGGTTTTATGAGGTCTTCTCCAGTCAAGTATGTATGGATATCATTCCTGGGAGACGTGCAGTAAGCACATGGTGGATATGCAGACAAGCAGATATCGAATTATCAAACTTAAATATAAATCTACTGGGAGTACTGTCTTATATGAACTTCTCTGAATAAAAGCCAGTGAAACAATTTACTATTACTTCTCTCAGGAGAAGAATTAAACATTAATTACTGATGGTACTTTTAACTAGTGTAATTATATGCAATGGCTTTAGAGAAGTAGAACTAAAAAGCCAGACTGCAGGCAGTGAGCTACTGTTGCAAGATCTGCATGACCTTGTAAGGAATGTAGTCAGCTAGTGTGAAGTGAATGGCTACAGACAGAAGTAGCAAGAGAAATAAAAATTAAAAGAAAAGAGAAAATTCTCTTCTGAAACACTGGGTGGACAGGACAGGTAACCCAACCTACCCTGGGAAACTTGTTTTGATTCTTTTTGGGGTGGGGAAATCATCATGCAAAAGACTAAATCAGACTTTTTTGTTGAAGCATTATTGATAGTTTTTGGCTCAACAGAGCGTGTTTCTACAAAGTGGAAAACTTTTTCCACTTAGAAAAATCTTAGGATTTTCCCCTTGAGAAATACAGAACATATGCAATTGACATTAATTTAAATTGTGTTTAGACATGGTCTGTTAGTCTTAATTTCAAATCTGTTAATTATATTCAGCTATCAGACCTCTGAGATGCTTATTTTTGGAGAATGTAATTTTCTGTCCTGAAGAGGTAAGCACAGAACAAAAATGTTTGGACTAGCTGTAAAATAAATAAGAAATCTACTTTAAAGAGTAAGAATTTATAAGAAAAAATAGAATAAATGTGAATCTCAGACTGTGTGTTCTGAAAAAAGTAAAAAAGTTCCCACAATGAAATGATTCCACGTTGTTTTCAGCTAGATGTATTGTTCTCCTCTTCATGGTTCAGCTGGAGTAGAGTCAACACAAGTGCCCAGACAATTCCAGGAAAAGGGATTGGTCCCATCCAAAATTTCATTCTACTCCAGAGGAGTAGGCTATAACTGGACACGATATTAGTATTTTTAACAAATACTGACCGTACAGTCATGTTTCCTATTCAGATTTATTTATATTCTTTTATATAGTGAAGCTAAATGCTGTCTTTTTGTGTTTAGAATCATCATGCAATGGCACGATAAAATGCTAACATATAAATAGGGATGATAAATGAGTCTAGTTTTCAGGAAACGCATCACTATGGCACAGCAATGTCATTTGCAACAGAAGCTTTATAATAAGACAAAAGGATACCACCCCCCCACCCCCCCCCCCCAGTTGCAGGATTAAAATGCAAATTAATTTGAAGTAGTATGGATCTTCCCTTCTTGGATTAGATCTCTGATTAATTTATGACACTTCATTACTGTGTTTATTTATTTATTTATTTGCATTGTGGTGACAAAAAAAAAGGTGACAAATTAAGGTCTTGTTTGTGGTAGGTGTTATATGAACTAGAGCAAGAAGAAGGTCTTTGACATGAAGGATTTTAAAGTAGAGACAGCAGAAGATGCAGGAACAAAAGAGCAAGGAGATATTGAGGCAATTCTGATTAGAATGGTAGGCTGTATTCATAGTCCGGTGTATTGTCTACTTGGTTTGGGTTTTCTTTTTAATTTGTTTCTGAAGGTCATCACAACAGAGTACTCTAGAAAAAGAGATAGCACTGCAATGGAGGGACAGTTTAGGATCAGTCATGGAGCAATGTCTTTTGAAGTCAAATGTGTGGGAGGGAAATAGCATTGTGGAGGCAGCAGAGACGTAATTCTATGTAGGTAAACTATACTGGAGTTTAGAAGGTGGCAACATAATTCTGGAGGAGGAGGATATTCTTTTTTTTCATCAGGTATTTTTGGGGTTGTGGATAAGGGAGAAGATAGCTTTATAATTAAAACATGCTATACAGACAAAAATAATCTGCAAAATAGACAAGTTTATGCTTATGTTTGTTGGCAGAAACCACATTTTCAGAGAAAAGAAACTTATAAAAGTATTTCCTGAGTTGGAGTGCCTTTGTCAGAAGTGATAATGATAGAGGATGTAGGAAGACAGAATTTACATGAAGGCTTTTAATTAAAACCAAATGCTTATTTATAATTAATTCCTGAACTTCTTGGCAAGCTTTAATTTCCTTTTCTCATCACTGAACAAAAAGATGGATTTTTCTTGCTAATTTGACTAAATAATTTGCACCCTTATTCTAATTTATAGGGTTGCTTTATTGATAGAAAATAAGCAGCTTGTAATTTGAATGATTGGTGGTATGTTTTAGCCTTACACTGGTTTTATACAAAGGAAAAGGCTGGGTGGTCATTTTGGGAACACTCCTAATTTCACTCATTTTACATTTGATTTTATCTGTAACCTGTCTCTTTCTACCTGCATCTTTTCAGAGACGTAAACAAGATGACAGACTTGTAAAGCGCTTAGTACCTTTTCCTTTCTGTTGACACTGAGCGCTGTGGAGGGCTGAGCCCTAGGAAGAAGAGTGCCACTTTGTAGTCATATGAAGTAGAAGAAGAAAGTAGAATTTTTATAGGATTAAAGAAGTTTTTTTTGAGCTGAACCCAGCTGTTAATGAAAAAGGACACTCTGCTCCAATGCCTTTTAATTTGGAGTCAGTTGCAGCTCAGGAGAAAGCATGCTATTTGCTGAAACAGCAGTATTTGCCAATGCACAAATATATCCCACATCTTCTGCTAATGTAACGGCTTCTGAAAATGTCTCCCAGTTAGATATTAATGAGACCAAGTACTGCTAAAACAATTAATTGTGACATGGTCATTGTCTTGGGGTATAGGGCTGTTGTCAAAATGGTTTGAAGCACTGAAATGGGAAAACAGGAAAAAAGTCTGTAGTACAAAACATTATTTTATCCAATGTCCTCCACCCCTGAAGTCCCCAAACCTGCTCTCCCCAATAATGTAAAGTTTTGAAGAAATGAGCAGATGTAAGGACTTGACGTCACCTCAGTTGAATGAAATGAAATAGAAGGTCTGTCCTTATGTAATGAAATCAAGGCAGATAGCAATAGGAAGCAAATTATTGAATAATAAGGTCACAGATTGTGCTGGGGAGCATTCATGCTTTTTGCAGAAACTTCTATCCTTCCTATGGCAGCATAAAGGATTTCCTTACACCTTGGTGTCCAGGGAGTTTCTCATTGTGTCTTAGAAGAAATGGTAAATGTAAATTAACAGAGACAATTTACTGAGTTTTTTCACTTCATGATATGGGTGAAGACACAGTAAAAATCCTCTCGCTGAATTCAGAGAGGATATGGACATAATTATTAATTATTTAGTGGTAAGACAATTCATCACAGTCCTGAGAAAGGGGGCTCCAAGGCACATTTTGACTCAAATGTTCTCTGAAGAAAAAGTGTCCTAGGGTAACAAGACAGTGCTCTGTTCCAGACATTTTCATGGCATCTGCTCAAGGTGTTGAGGGACTATGAAGTAACTGTCAGGACATGCAAATCAGCCATGAGGAGTATTTGGGATCACAAATCCATTTCTCAGCATTCTCTACAGAAACTAAGTTATATTTAGCCATAACCTAAACCTTGGTATTTAGACATCTGTTCATACACATATTTATATTTGTGTATGCATTTATATGTATTTACATGCATGGATAAGGAGTCTTATCACCAAAGACATCTACGCTACAGTTCTTCTCACTCTAAGCTCACTGTATAAGAAAAATAAACACCTAAGAGCATGATTTAATACAGCTAAAATGTGAATCACTCTTTGAAAGTACATATGCACTGACTAGAAAGACCTTGAAAATAAAGTTGCATACCTAGAGTATAAAACTGTACTGAGTCTCTTCTTCCTGTTAAACTTTTCTTTAGATATTAAAGAAAAATGATTTTCCCATTATCCAAAACATTTTCAATTTCAGGAAAAAAAAAACAGCCATCTCAAATCAAATCAAAACTAAAATCACTTTGTATCACTTTATGCAACAATTTCTTTCTTTTTTTTTTTTTTTTAATGGAAGAATTCCTGACCAGAGTCTATTTCTATTCGTTTGTTTTAGTTTGCTGGAGTGTGATGTTTCCATTCTCTGCAATTTTTCCTGTTTTCATTTTAATGGTTATGAAATTATCAGTTCTGCAAAGGTTTATATGTAATCATATGAGATAGTTTCCCAAAATGTGGTGTAAAGCAGTAGCTTCCAGCTACTGATGGGGAAATGTTTGCCTTATTTAAGAGTTTAATAATTCTGCATAGGCTGTTGGGAGTCATTCCTGCCTGACTTTATGAAGATGCGTATATTCCAGATGTTACAGTCCGGACAGTCTATCTGTATGCAGAAAGGCGCTGGGGTGGTAAAGCAAGAACCACCACAGCAGCAGTTGTTGCTGATCTGGCAGGGGGTGGTGAATGCTGATTGTTGCCCTGTGCTCCCAGAGGGACTGGTGCATTTTGCAAGTGGGAAAGCCATTCTGGTAGGCACGGGGAGTCCTTGGTTGTAGCACCTGAAGGAGGAAGCAAACTCTAGTTTTCATGTGCTGGTATGAGTGTGAAGTATGGAGGTAGGGGGGGAAATGGAGAAAGAAAGAATTGAGTCATGGCCACTTCGGTACTTTCACGAGGCTGACACAGAATGGACACCGACAGCTACAGGTGGTATACAGGGCTCCATTTTCTCCCTCTGATGTGTACATATATAGTTGAAGCTAGAGAGTTAGAGAATGCAAATTTAATAAAGGATACAGAGCGCTTGACATTTCAAATAAGAACAAAATATGGCATTATTTTAATCACAGGTATGCAGTGGCCTTATGTATCACGTGTTGAATTTAAAAAGATACCTTTTAATTTGGATTTGCATTTTGATGAATTTCAGGTACAAAGCAATTGTAAATCCCATGGACATCCAGACCTCCAGTGCAGTGCTATGGACCTGTCTTAAAGCCATTGCCATCTGGGTAATTTCCATGCTTCTAGCAGTTCCTGAAGCAGTGTTCTCTGAACTGGCCCACATCAATGACACGGATAATGTCACTTTCACAGCATGCATACCATACCCCATGACGAACGACGTGCACCCGAAGATCCATTCTGTGCTGATTTTCCTTGTGTATTTCCTTATCCCTCTTGCTGTTATTAGTATCTACTACTGTCATATTGCAAAGAGTTTAATAAAAAGTGCTCACAACATCCCTGGAGAATACAGTGAGCATTGCAAAAGGCAGGTAAGCAATTTGCTTTCTACATCCAAATGAAAGACGTGTGTGCTGTATACACTTACAAATGAAAGTACAATGAAAGGGTCTATAACATCCAAATTGTTGGATTTCATAGAGGATCAGTTCAGTTTCCATGTGCATGAACTAAGCCAAGGATTACCTGAAAAATCTCCTTTTTTGCAATTGCTCAGTATTAAGCCCAGTATGTAAATAAATGTAAAAAAGGGAAAGTATAAATTCACTGCCATCAATGTGTATTCCTAACAAGCAATGGGATTGCTATATGTGCTTATATGTGTTGTTATTGTAACCATTACTTATGTTGTTACTGAGAAACAATGTTTTTGTAGTTAATCCTAGTGGCTTCACCTGTCTCTGTAGGCAGCCATTTTGGGAAGAAATCCTGCATGAACTTTTGGAGAATTATCCCTTCTTGCTTGAAAATGAAAAAACTGACATAGGTTAAACTTTTTTTAGGAGATCTAAGGCTCATCTCAGACCAAGGAGTGCTGGAAATATGAACACAGGGCATGAACTGATTCTTTCTGGGCTTTCTATCTTTATTGGATACAATCCTAAACTTGCACTTTTCTAATACCCTTTCTATTCTAGATGCTGTAAAACTTTCAGTATAGGTTCTGTATACCTTTGAGACAAAGCATTTTAAAATGCTGGACAAAGCCAGCTTCCTTGTAAGGCACAGGAGGCAATAAGATAGGCTGTTCATTGGAAGGAGCATTTATACATATACAAACAACAGCTTTTGCAGTGAAAGCGCCTTTAAAAAAGCTTTAGTATTGGTAGAGAAAGATGCTTATGCCCATTAAAACATTTTGGAAGGGTTTTCTCTGCCAATATTTTAGAAAATACTTTTATACTTACTGAAATCTCCTTGCATATATAGCATGTACATATTCTTTTAAAACCAAAGACCACATTCCCTCATGTCCTTTTTGCTTGACATTTCATTTCTACTCTAAATCTGTTTCTCGTCAAAAAGGCATATATATTAGCACTTCATGTATTATTTTATTTTCCTGTGAAATATAGAGAACCTTTTGGCTGAACCCTCAGGATGAAAACAATATATAATTCATATCACATTTCTGAACCCACATGTATTTTCAAAGCAAGAACATAGTTTTTCATTCTACTTAGGTTTTCTCTTTTTGTTAATCTATGAGGCTCAGAACGATAGAAAGTTCTGGTGTACTTGCATATTTCCCAGCAAGAAGAAATAAATTTAGACTATTGTTATCAACTCAATTTTCTTTAGGCCATACCACAAAAGCATAATATTCACACAATACCTCTGCATCTTTTAGTCTGCCTTTGCAATCTGTCTGAGTGCAAATCCTATCAAATTTGAATGTTAGAGTTTTCCCATCTTTTGTGAATTCCCCAATTGTTTTGTTTTAGGTAGAGCCAAGAAAACTACTTACATATTTATTTCACAGATTTTGAAACCCTGTTAGAATAAATTAACTTCATTTTGTGGTTGTAGTTTTTTTTTAGGTTTGGGTTTTTTTTTTTTTCCTCAGAAATTGGGAAAGCCATAAACCTTGCCTGCCTTTGCAAAACTTTGGTACCTGACATACATAAGTAATCTTTTGGGAGGAATATACAGAAAGTTTCCGTCTCCCTCTGATGCCTTCTACCTGTCCAGTTTCTCACCCTCTCTCAGTTTGGAACCACTGTGTAGGCTCATTTCCTGTCAGCTTTTCAGCCATTCTCGATGTCTACATTGTTATCCATTATAGCTTAGGTACAGTTTAAGGTACATTTTTTTTGTGTCACTATTGAAGATTAACTGAATCTTTCACCTTACCCTGGAATTAAGATGCTTCAGACTGTGCAATGCAGTTTTTGTGGTTTGTCTAGGAGAGGTGTGAAAGGTGAGGAATTTCAGACTAAATAAAGGGATGTAAGTACCATTGTATAGCTAACATCTGAGCAATGTCTCCACATTTCAGTCATAATGTCCCTAGTTTTCAAAGGCAATGGTTTCTAAATAACTGTCTAAGTAAAGCTGAGTTTCAAGCCAAGCACTGAGATCTCATCTGAAGAGGTTATGTTTCATGACATCCTTTGCTGTGTGCTTTCAGGCTAAAAGCCAGTGTTTACTTGGGTCATAAATCATACGTGCTGTGTATATCATATAGGAAGAGCAAACTTCTGTTACTGCAAACAGCCAGGATTTTTCACTGAAAGTAAACTGAGAGTGAGAAAAGTAAGTAAATGAGAAAAAAAGTAATTCAGCCTCTGAAGGAAGCATTTTTACTGGCCTTACTTGGAATACTTGTTAAAGCTAATGTAAAGAAAAATGCTACATGTTTTAATTCTGTTATGTGGAGTAGTTCTATTTGTTGTTGTTCATTTAGGTTCTCTTCATCTTTTCAGATGGAAACTCGGAAACGTCTGGCAAAAATTGTTCTAGTTTTTGTTGGCTTCTTTGCTCTCTGCTGGTTTCCTAACCATGTTCTATACATGTACCGATCTTTTAATTACAATGAAATTGATCCATCGACAGGACATATGGTTGTTACCTTAGTGGCCCGAGTACTAAGCTTCTGCAACTCTTGTGTCAACCCATTTGCACTGTATTTTCTCAGTGAGAGTTTTAGAAGACATTTCAACAACCAGCTTTGCTGCAGGAGGAAAGCTCAGCAAGAGAGATCCGCCAGCTACTTGCACAACTCTTCTGCTATTCAAATGACTTCCCTGAAAAGCAATATCAGGAACACAGTGACTAGCATGACACAACTGAATGGGCACAACTTGAAACAAGAAATGGCATTATGATTTAATAGGTGTGATTTTTGGCTGTGGAAGATTTGCACTTTTTCTTTGCAGTTTGCATCTCATTTTTGGCTCTTATGCTTAGACTGAGATGTCACAACAAAGGATCTGCTAAATCTGGTGAATTGGAGGTTATTCACTTCTAGTGTTACTTTTAGATAGAAGTGAAGAGTTTGTTTTATTGAGAAAACAAAACTGACTGGCTGCATATTGTACTTTAAAGGAGATGCTGATGTATATTTAACATATAAAAAATACATCGATGGTGTGAGTATTAGTGTAGCTGATCTAACATTACTTTAAAAAGTGTAGATTTTTTTGATCTAAAAAATATGTATTTTTAACTGAATATTGATCCAGACTTATGTGTTACTTAGGTTTTGCATGATTCTAGCTGTGTGGTGTGTACAAGCATTGTTCATTAAGACTGGTAGGCATTTTGGACCCAATTAAAGAGCCATTGCAATGCATAGATTCTAGTTTCAGGAAAAAAAAAAAAAAGTCAAGTATCATGTTCCACATTTTTACCTTATCTGAATCTCCCTGTTTTTTTTCACTTTGGCAGACATACATGATGAGAATTTACGTTTAAGGGGTTCTGTTTGCTGTTGAGGTCAGAAGTTTATCTACTAAAATTAACTGCTTTTCATAATTAACGTCTCAAAATAAAAATGTTGTGTTCAATATGCAGGTTTTCTAGAACTCAGTGTCTGAAAATTCATTTCTCTGATGCGTAACTCTGTGACATAATTGGTTCAGAGTGTCTACATGCTTTATATTTGCTACTACTAACTGATCTTGCTGATATCATTACACAGCTAAGAAGGAGTAAGCGTAAAGGGATGGCTGAACATTTAAAGAGGTAAGATTCAGAGTGGCTTTTTCAGAGAGGGTCTGTGGCAAGGCTTGCTGCAGCTCAGAGCAGTCTTAGAGCACAGAATGCAGATTATGTGCCAGACAAAACCAAACTGAAGGATGTCCTGCAGGAACAAACCTAACATGCTCTGATTATTAACGATCATCCAGCCCATGCGATCAGACAAATTCTAGTCTGAAATAACTCCCAAGCGATGAAACATGGGGAGCTAGCATTGTTTGCTAAGTACCAGCTGTTTGCTGTCTAGGTCTATTCTTCTTGCACACAGTTTACGAGCCTAAACAAAGCGTAAGTACTGTTGAAAATCTCAGTTTTAAAAGACACTTTTTCTTTTCCTTGAAGGTCTTTGTGCATAAATACTCAATGCACTTCTGAAAATCCTAGTTAGGTTGCCTAAACAGATTTTCAAATGTTTTTTGTGGGTCATCCCAGTGGCATGGCCCATGCATAGGTCTTTGTCAGTATTCCCAGGAAGTCATTTCTAGGGTACATGGTCAGTGCAGAGCTGGGATTAAAACATCAGGGAATGGTGGGTGAGGCTGTAGTTGCCAATGACTATCCTGTCCAGAATTAATTTACTGTGAGGGATTATGGTTCTGTCTTTTCATTCACACTCCTCTGCTGGAGGTACCCTATGCAAGGCTTCCAGAGCTGCCCTTCAGACCACAAGAAAGCAAGCAGTTCAAATGTAAAACATCTCATCTTTTCTTTTTTTTTTTTTAATCAGTTTTTGTGTCCACACAGAGAGTTAAATAGACAAAATGACTGAAGCTTGTTGCTGCAAAAACTCATGTAAGGCTACCCGTATTAAAGTTTCTAATCTGTCTCAGGGCTGCACCAGTTTTTGCTGAAATTAATGGGGACAGAGCAAATCCCCCCATATGCAGCTGCATGCTGTCAGACTAATATCTATTCCCCAAGCCAGGTGAGGAGTTAGGTGGGGCAAGGATCTGTTTTGGGTGTGAGCTCCAGAGAGGAGAAGCTCACAATATCTTTCTTAGAAGAAGGGGAAGTAATGGCAGACAATGACACCTTGTAGAAGCAGGGTTCTTTTATGGCCAGTTCATGAGCCAAATGTCATTTTAAATAGCTTTTTCTTTCAAATTGGGTGGAAGAGCTTCAGCACAGATCTGTCTCTGTCACAACACTGTAGCCTGTACTTCTGCAGTGACTTCTCCAAGGTGAATAGTAGAAAGTACAATAGAAATATAGATTGGATTTTGAAAAAAGTCCTGTAATTTCAAAAGCTGATGTGCTAATACTGCAGCAGGTTACAGTATTAGTGTATTTGACCTTATTAATGCACTTGCTGTTACTTAGTTCTATTTGTAACCTTTGAACCAGCTGAAGTTCAACATTTCTTTTGCAATTCCCCTACCATCAAGGTTATTTATACCCCTACCCCAGTTTTTAAGGCTACAAAAAGGTATATTGATATAATCTGGAAATTATTTTAACTAGTTACCTAAGAAAATCCCTAACTGTTACCACTCAACAGGGAAAGTAGCAGATTGAAGTTCTGCATGTCAACTAGCATGGTCCGGTTGGTGAGACCTACATTATGTAATGTAGTTAAAGTTGTGTGCAGCATTCAAATGAGAAAACTTGTGAAAACCAGTGTAGACCAGCTCCAAACCACATGCCCTAGATGACTGCAGCGGCCCTACGGCTTCAGTGGCTCCTTGGAAAACTTTATGCAAAGCAGCAGATTGGCACGAACTTGTAAATCTATCTGTAACAGTTTAGGAAATTGTTATCTATTACTGCCTAACACTGCTTCGTCCTCCTTTTTTCTCCATTTCACCTTTTCTCTTTCTCCATGCCTCAGTTCCATATGAGCCCACATGTTCTCAGAACTCCTCTTTAATTTTATGCCACTAATTCTTCCTGGATGCCAGCCAGAGTTTTGGATTCCTCCCTTCTGATGAGTCTTGAATCATTTTTACTCATGGATATTTTACACCCACAAAACACAAAAGCTTATCCTTCTTTCTGAACTCTTGATGGTGATCATTGACTGTGATCAAATTTCCCTTTTATTTCTGCTTTTTTTTTTCCTGGTTCACTGCTTCTCATTTTGTTTTCCAATTTCTCTACACAACATAACATTTCATAGGACTTCTAAATCCATTGTGCATTTTATTTCCTGAAGGCATTTGTCTGATGTAGAAATTACCAGATGATACAGGTACCCTACTGGAAAAATAATAATCTAATGTATAGTAGATTCGATGCTTGTGTTTGATTCAGACTCTTCACTCAGGGCCTTAAGTTGCTATGCGATATGGACAGCATGAGTCTGCCTTCTGGCAGAACTGCAGGATACAGCCTGTTGTTTTTGTTGTGTGGGAAAGGTATTCCCAGATAGACTAGAACTCCTTATTATTAGGAAATCAGCACAATTTTTGTTCATTGTTTCCCAGGCCTTGTACTCAAAGCCTGTTTTGAGTAAGTATTGTATACGCTTTCTCAAATTCTTGTAGTGTGGTGTGAGGGAATTAGTTAATCTGTCTGGACCTAGTTAACCTGGAGCATTACTAGATATATTGCTAACCCAATAAGCACATTTTACTGTGCTTTTGTGCACACTGTGTATAAGTGCAATGGTATATATGATGCTATTTCCAGACAACACTTCTTGCTAACAAAAAAAAATATTGTAGAATGCAGTATTTTCTTCTAGCAGTAGTCAAAGCAACAAAGGAAATCTGTAAATGAGATCATGTCAGCTTTTCAGGTACTACATTGAGGTTTATGCCAGAATAAAGTTGTTAAAATACCATTTTATTATTTTTTGGTAAGAAAACATTATTTCAGAAGCACCAGATCTTTTCTGTCCTCCTCTCCTGAGTTTTGAGTTGGTTTCTTTAAAAAATATTTTCACAATGATTGAGAAGTCTTTAAAAAATGAGAGAACAGAGTTTCCCTGTTTCCTCTATGTGAGACTTTTTTCTCCTAGACTAGAGCTAGTACAAAATAAGTCTGATAGCATCTTGTCACCTCACCCTGCCTGTAATAGAAACATTGCAATTCTGAATTCTAAAAGTATGGTTGAATTCTCAAAAGAAGGGTACTTCATTTAGTATTATATTGTGAAGTGATGTCTTCCACAAAGCCACTTTGGTTACAATAGATAACAACGTCTTTACTTTTCACAACACACCTGTCCCATAGATTTTTTTTGACTTAGTCAAAACAGATTCATGGAAATAGAAGCAAAGAAGAGTCAGTTTGGGAGTAGAAAAGAAAAATGCTTTCTCATAATTTAAATGGACTGATACTAAGTTGAAGATTCGCAGTGTTGATTTCCAGTACCTTTTCTTTCTTCACTTGTTTCTAAAATGATATTCTGACAATAGTCAGCCTTTCACTAACACCACAACTCAGTGTCACAGAATCACTGGAAGCCTTTGAAAATCCATCCGTATATTTATACTGCTAGTAATGAACAGGGCTTTACATGGATGCTACTAGCTTCTTCCATCTTTCTGGTCCCATGATGAGTCTTCTTTATTCTCCTGCCTAGAGAGAGGCCCCATCTACTGTGCCAAAAGTGGACACAGGAGGAGGAAGAATAAAACCAAGGATAGACCAAAAAACCATGTCTTCAAATGGTCTTTGCTGCCTCAAAGAGTGCCAGTATGACTGCATTTTGGCAAACACAGTCTGAAACCACAAAAATTTTAATAGGTTAGAGATCTCTTGTGATGTGGATGAGAGACAGACATTTGGAAACGTACAGCTCAAGAGCTGTATATTCCCAAATACTTAGAAAGTTTTATATTTCAAGAAATATACAACAAAAGTAGAACTAAGTACAATTCACAAGTACATTCAGACGCTTCTGGGATTGGTCCTGATCCAGTGGAGTGAAAAGGGAAGTCTGGCTGAAGAATTTGACTCATGCTTTACATAACAGCACATCTTGCAGCCGCTAAGTTGGCAGGTCAGTGCCAAAAGTATATTGCTTAGCCAGAACTGCTTTTGATTTCTGTTTTGATTTAGGCAATTGTCTAATTCAGTTTTGACAAGGTGCCTTCATTTCTAATTGTTTCTGACTTGTTTCTGTCTCCCTGTTGTACTGCTGTCTTGGTGACTAGCAAGAATACAAAAGAATTCTGTTTGATTTCAATGAATATCTGTTAATGACTTTTAAGCCAGCAGGAAGATGGCAATATAGTGGAGCCAATTTTTTTTTTCTTTCCTTTTTCTCTTGGGGCTATATGTGAGGTTTTTTGGTGTATGAGGTAAATTCAAGAATTTTGGATTTTGTATTACAAGATGATACACTTGGTAAATTTCTATAGCATTGACTTGGAACAGAAAAGGTGTAATATGGAACTAATCTGGTGAGCTGGTTTTGATCTGTCAGGAGGGGGATTTTGTTCATTTTTTAAACAAGGGAGATAATTTGTGTATCAGAAGCTCTCTGTCATTACTAGCTCAATGCACCTTGTAGTGCAAGTTTGATTCAGAAAGGACACTTCTGTTGAGTAGACACAAGAAGGTATTAGTGCTGTATCTCTCCCAAGAGGCATGGCACTGTAGCTTAGCTGCTTTAAACACTGTAGTTCTGAGCTGCTCCATGAACCAGTCTATATTACTGCTGCCCCATGCTGTAGCATATCTTTGCTGATATTTGTGATTTTCAAGACCTTGCACTATAATGTCTATAGCAGACAGCCCCTCCAGCATTTGCACCATGTAGTACTTACCTGCTTGACACATAAAACCCTTCTCTTTTCATTCATCTCAGCCTCTTCTCATTTCATGCCCAAGGCATGTAGCAGCCACAGTAAAGGACTTCTCACAGTAAAGGACGGGAAAAGGAAAGTCAGGACAGGAAAAAGATGAATGGGAGATGTTTCAGCTGTATCCTATGCCTGCTTGTCCCCTCCCTACATGCATAATGGGAAACTAGCTCCACCACAGCTTTGGAAAGCTAGTTGTGCTTGATGTTGTTGACTGTGGTCCATCTGAACTACTAACGGAAATACCATATATTTTAGGTATAAAAGGTGGGTGCCTGAGAGCCCCTTGTGTTTTCTCTTTGTGCATGCTGACTCACTCTTCTCACTGCAAATCCCAGGCCTACATGAAACCTATAAGCATGCCTCAAGATTTGTCTCTTGTTGCTGAAACTCTTTGCAACACCTGGCCTGGATAGCTAGCTATTGCTTGAGTGCTGTGACTGGTTTTCGGAGCACCCCTATTTCCAGCGGCACATACTATGTCTTGGCCTCTGCAGCACTCTGCAGAGCTGTGCACAGCCATTTGCCGAGGCTGAGCTGGGGAGTACATTCCAGCCTGCATTTTAAGAGGTGTGAGAGTCTGCAGTTATACTTAGAGCTAAGGGTAGATGATCTCAAGACAATGAAATAAAATCAATATTATCTAAAAGCACTGCCAGTTCTAAAATGACAAAGTGCCCTTACCTTCGAGCATCCCAGTGTCTGAAAGTAAATGCTGCCAAGCCCCATTACCCCCAATCCAAGAGCAGAGTTACCTAATTTCAGTAACAGTGAACACATTTCAGAAAAGCACAGCATGTCTTTGGGTGGGCTTGTGAGTCTACAGCAGCTTCTCTGATCTGATACTGTAGCTGTGGAGAGTGGAGCTGTGAACAGCAGGGGAAATATCCATAGGAGAGAATGCAGTAATGGCAAATGTCATAGCCTTTACTGTGCACTAGCCTCAGTTAAATGCTTCTTCAATGTCTAGACATTGTTTGCTTCCATTTTTTTCTCTAGGCAAAGACAGATGTGTTTGTCATGTTTCATCATTACCACTTTCCTACAGATTCAGCAAAGAAAACCCAGGGACGGTAGCAGTACTCCACTCAGTGATGGAAGGACATTGTTCTAAACCACCTTTGTGTACGTATACAGGAGCTATATGGGCTCCTGTGCCTCAGTTTAACATTTTATCTGTCGTTGTTCTAATAGCCTGGCTTAGCTGCTGGGCCTGAGCACTGATAAAGAAGGAAAATCTAAAATCACTGGTGTCTCTCACTTGTCTTTTGAGTGAGACATCATCAAGGTGGAGGTGGTTGTTACTTCTAGAACCACGAACTGTTCCACTCCCAAGGAACTTCTTTTTATGCATGGGGAAGGAGCTAAAGATAGCAAGGGTCACTGTAAATCCAGCATTTCCTAATTTGGAGATATTTTCTTTATTAGGTAAACAATGACCTTTTACTATGATTTTCTTGAAT